CCAGAAACTTGTTGCAGTGAAGTTTTAAGTTTTAAACCATTAATTTCACAATAAGAGAGATTCTTGTGAATATTTGCTTATAAGTAAAACTTTTAATGTAGCATAAAACACTACAATTTATTTTTTGTCATAAAATGTATTTTAAATATTAAATGTACTAAGACTGTTATTACAGCTAAACATATCTCCATCTTTTATTTCATTTCAATACCAGTTTAATTTATTTTTGTTGCTGTTGTTTTTTATATTTTTGAAAAAGTAGCAAATATACTACAATAGTTACATTTATAAAGTGATAAGTTGCTTAAATAAATAAATAAACCTTTGATATTAATGATCAAACCCATTCGATTTTGCAGCTGCTGGACTCAGTATCTGGGTGTCTCTCTTTTCCACGGGGTTCATTTGCACCATGTACACCACACTGGTAAGAACAATAAGGTATTCTCAAAGGGCGTAAATATTTATGCAAACAGGGTTACTGCAACCTTTCTTATATTTAATGTCCTTCCACTGGGCAGTGCAGTGGAGCAGTTGTTAGCAATGCTGCCTTGTAGCAAGAAGATCCAGGGTTCAAATCCTGGCCTGGGATTTTTCTGAGGGGAGCATGTTCTCGCCCTGCATTCGCAGAACCGTGTCTGACATCATTCCAGGTTTCTCACTCTGTCTTTCTCCTCTAATGTTTGTGTGCAGGGCGGCATGAGGGCTGTTATCTGGACCGACGTCTTCCAGATTGTTGTCATGTTATCAGGCTTCGTGGCAATTTTCATCCAAGGGACAATTCTGGTTGGCGGTCCTGCACAAGTACTGGAGATTGCCAGCAATGGGTCACGCCTTAATTTCAATGAGTAAAAGCCTTTTTTGTATTGATCCGTGTCCATTTCGAGGTCCAGTCTGCAATTTGATCATTTTAAAATAACAGTGATTATTACAGATGACAAAGGTTAAAGTCACTGATTAGAAATAACATTCCACCTCTTATTAATACCTCAAGCTATATTCAGCACAAAATGTATTTAGTTTTAGGTTTCTAGTTGTGCTTTATTCTGTTCTTGATTTTCCTCCACAGTTTTGATGTCGATCCACGGAAACGTTACACCTTCTGGAGCCTCAGTGTTGGGGGCTCCATGGTTTGGTTGTCCATGTACGGGGTAAACCAAGCACAAGTTCAGCGCTACATTTCCTGCCGATCAGAGAAAGCAGCCCAGTGGTGAGTGTTTTTATAAATTACTCACATGTTCCTCTATCCATTGTTGATTGCTTCCTAGTCCTGCCTGGATCATGAGGACGCTGGAGCCTATAGCTAATGGCTAATTAATAAGCAAGAGGCATAGAACTGCCTGGACAGGTTGCTAGTCCATCATAGTTGGACTAGTTAGTTGTAATTTATCTTGTTAACAGTACAAAAGCATGGAACATGTTATGCAGATTCCAGAGACGAATGGAAGTTACTCAAGTGTCCGAGGAAATCTCAGTTCCCCAAAAAATATTGTTTTACATGTAAAATGTAAAAGAAAAAAAAAAGAATACATCTAATACACAGCACCACAAAATAATAACAACCATTACTGGACAATGTTATGTATTTGTCTTTGCGCTCTTTTGCCACATGGCTCTATGTTTTTGAATTTATGAGTTTTCTAGATTTCCTGTCATGCCTTTGTTGTTTAACTTATTTTAGTTAATCTGCTTGCACCTTATCATTCAATAATAGATATGACACACATAACTGACATTTCTTTTCCCATATTTGCCTCACTTGACTGCTTAGAATCAAACACAATTACAGGATTAATTTAATAAAGTACACTTTTTTTTAATTTATTTTCCAGGGCTCTGTTTGTAAATCAGATCGGTCTGTGCCTCATTGTGAGCAGCGCAGCAACCTGCGGTATCGTCATGTTTGCTTATTACAACCTCTGCGACCCGCTGAAATCTGGGAGGATTTCTGCACCTGATCTGGTATGCTGATGACTCTGGGCAAAGGCAGATGAATTTGGCTTTACAATAACTCAAAAGTAGCGCAGTGTTTCAACCAAAGTTAATTCAATTTCTGGTACTATTGAAGTATGTTGTTGTTTGTCTTATCCCACCATGTTTTGTAATGCAAAACAATAAGCTTGAAGTTAGTTCTGTTTTCTTGTACTCTCGGTTTCTAGCTAATGATACCATGAATAGGTTTATTTCCCGACTCTATAAATAATTTTAGGGGTGATCATGGTTTCCACGTATGAATTGCTTCTGTCCAAAGTTACACACTAACACTCTATTCTACTTTTCCTGTTCTGTTCTAATAAAGTACATGCCATACTTCGTGTTGGACATATTCAGTAATCATCCAGGATTCCCAGGTCTTTTCCTTGCCTGTGCATACAGCGGGACTCTCAGGTATTCACAATCAGTTTTTTCTCAGTTCTGCTGCCAGATGCTCTCTGAATACACTGAAGTTTTTTTTTACTTGAGACTGTAGATTACAACTGTAACTTTTGGGTGGTTCCTTGCATGGTTTCTTTTAATGTATCAGATATTATGGTTTGACATGGGTGGATGTAAGCTCTTTATGAAACATTGTGCATAATCCAACCATGTAAGAAAAGCTGAAGGCCTTTGTATTTTTACAGAAAAAATAACATTGCCTCAGCTTAGTCTTATTTATTAAAATATAATTTTATTTAAGTCCTCTTCCTATTGCTGCTGTGACACCCATTATTACACACATACATACACACATTATTTTTTTAAACTCTTATGACATCCAGAAGTGAAATGATTGGCATTGTTTTTTAACAGCACTGCCTCCACGAGTATCAACGCCATGGCTGCAGTGACGATGGAGGATATACTGAGGCCTCATCTGCTCAAGATGGAACAGAAGAAACTGGTCCTGGTTTCCAAAGGACTGTGTAGGTTGATTCTTACTAAGCAAGTGAAAAGGATTTTGATTTCAGCACCACTTCTTAAAATTAGTGCAAAGGCTGGTTGAAAAGTTGAAAAGTCAAAGACAGGTCTAAAATCCAGCTGAAAACCTTAATACTGGCATCAAGCTGCTGGGAATCTAATGCTAATTTAATTTAGTTTATTGGTGCCAAATTAAAACAAATGTAATCATGAGGTTGTTTTTTTTACAAAGCAATATCTACCAGTTTATGTGCAAGTGTATAAAAGTATTCAAACAAATAAATCCCATTCATAAAAGATTCAAAGTAATCATTCATATGACAATCATCTTTCATGCCACCAGGAACAAAACATCTTTTCCAGGAAAGTACAACCTTCCACTGATATCAACTCTGTAATTAACACAGAAAGTATTAAAAAAACAAATATTTTATTTCAAACTCCTTGATGAGTTCAAGTTGACCTTTCAGGTTGAACTTGATCAGACATATCTAAGCTGCAAGTCTAGAAGAGTAAACATTTCTCCTTCTCTTTCTTAAAGCATTCCTGTATGGAGCTGGATGTATCACCGTAGCAGCTCTCTCCTCCTTCCTGGACTGGGGGGTTCTTCAGGTATATTATACAGAAATATTTGAATGCCTCACAACAAGAAGCTCCTGGGTTCGAACCCTGACTTCCTGTGCACAGTTTATATCTTCTCTTCGTGTATGTGTGCTCCAGCTTGCACACATACACGCTGGAGCACAGCGTGTATGTGTGCATACAGTTCTTACCCTAGGTAATCCTAGGGTAAGAACTGACCTGATAAGCCCATTGACCCTTGGAAAAAAAAGCTCCCACAGAATAGATGAATTAAGTAAATAAATAAAACTGCTGTGAGTGTGATGCTTGCATCCAACCAATCGGTTGTATTATTGTCTGATTTGAAATAAGTTTCAATCAGTTACTTTCATCTTCACTCCTGGATTTTAATTCGTTTTGTTTTGAACCCAGAATGTTGCTTGTCTTCTTTCCTCAGGGTTCGTTCACTGTCATGGGTGTGGTCAGTGGTCCAGTTCTGGGCGTATTCATTTTGGGAATGTTTGTCCCAGGAACAAACAGGCTGGTGAGTGTTTGCCAACCGCCTTAAAAACTTATGATTTACAAAACACAAACTCTGACCTTGGTGGTAGTAAAAATACAATTGCTACCACTAGTTAAGTCAAGCAGAAGAAGGGCAAAAGCAAATAGAAGGTGCATTTAATCAAAATAATCAAAAAACACATTTAAAGTTATTATTATTATTATTATTATTATTATTATTATTATTATTATTATTATTATTTGTTGTTTAAATCAGCTACTACTACTTCTGCTACCTCTTGAACATTAACTCTGCTGCCAACTAGTGGGTAAATATAAAATTCCATGAAAAAAAAATTTTTTTTGAAGGCACAGGCTTAGATTAAATAGGTATCAATGTATGTACAGGGAAAAAATAAAACATATCATTTAATTGGTACTGGTTGGAGACCTGCTTGGTCCTATTACTGCAGGGAAGCTGGAAATGTAAACTGTGAAGGTGTGACGTGAAGACAGGTGACGCTTTTTAACTCAAACTTTTCAACAAACAAACAAAAAAAAACCTAATGCAAACAGCAAACTACTGACTATTAAAATTTCAAACATGGTTTGAAGTCTCAACCGGACCCCAGAATCCCTATGTTATGTGTACAGCAAACTGTTTGACTAGAAAGATTTTCAATTGCATTTGTTTGTGTTTTAAAGCAAACACTAAAGTGTTGTAAATGTCATAATTTGTCTTTGTTGCTATCTATCCCACAAAGAAGGTTTTCTTGTTCATTAACCCGACTGTGGAATGGAAATTTCCTTTTTTATGATGTACAATCAGAGTAAAGGTAATAATTTTCAGACATGACCTCGTGCACATTGATCTCAGAAGCTGTATGTAGTCATATTAACAGGAAGATGGACTGACTTCCTGTTTCCTTTGTTTTATTTTTATATCTGTTGAAAGAAGCATTATCTTTTATGATAGCTGCATTCTAGAGTGCTTGTTCTTCTGTTTGCTACTGAAGTACAGTCCAACGCCTTTTTGAAATCAGGCCTTCAGGGGTTTATTGGGTTTTCTTTTATGCAAAGAAAAAAAAACAGAGCATGCTGATGGGCTGAAAGGAACAAATTCATTTTTAGACACTGTTGTTGGTATTCAATAATACTGCTGCCGATTATTAGGGTATTTTATCCTTTTTGCAGGGCGCGTACTCGGGGATATTGGCGGGATTCTGTGTCTCTCTGTGGCTGGCTGTGGGTTCAACTCTTCACCCACCCAGTGAGGAGACCATGGGTGTCCTGCCCAGCTTCACAGACGGCTGCAGCTTTGCTAATGGCACAAAAAACAACAGCTCTAACCTGGATGAGGTTTCCATCTTGACCCCACTTCATCCTAAACACCAAGGGTTAGCAGACACAGCTTTTCAGATGTTGATCTATTTCTAATCATTAAACATGAAACTTTTCTTTTAATCTTAGCTTAACTACTCACATGAAAGGTTTATGACTGCTATACACAGACTGTGCAGAGAGATTAAGATGAAAAAATATAAAATGTCTTAGCTCTTTTGTTGTTGGTTTTGTTTTGTTTTTTCTAAAAACAGTGGCCTCCTCAACTTCTACTCCATGTCTTACCTCTATTTTGGAGCCATGGCCACCAGTTCAGTCATACTGGTGGGACTGATAGTGAGCTATGCAACAGGTAAAGAGATCATGAGTGTTACGTAAGTCAATGTTGTGAAAACTGCAGGGTCACTCTGACACATTGAACCAAATCTTTCCGATTTACATTTATTGCAAACATATTCACATCCCTTGAAAATATCTGGGTAATGTTACAACCAGACAACATCTGTGTATTTTGAAAGAGTTTTATATGTTTATATGTTGTAGATGTTGTCAGAGCTACAAGATTATAGTTGTAGTTATGAGGTGACAAAATGTGAAACATAATGGGTGTGAATATTTACAAGAAAATGTAGCTCCTATCAGTCCAAAATGTTAAGTTAAGGGCTTTAACACAGAGCTACTAAAAAAGAATGAATTTTTCTTTTCCTTTAAGTTTTATGCATACTTGAACAAACTCTCATGTTTCTATCGCACACAGGGCCAACAAAGAGGAGTCAAATTAAAAAGGGGTTGTTATGGTGGGACCTGAATAAAAAGGAGATGGAGATCTCGTCAGAAAGCAGAGTAATATTTTTTTTAAACAGAAATAATTGTCTAATGAATGGAAGTGCCATAAATTATTCCCTGATAATTTATGTAACCATTTATATCTATTTACTATGTCCCTCTCTAAGCTGAAAAGTCTAGTTTGACATTTTTTTACTGCTAAATATGTATGTGAATTTAAACTTGACTTAATTTAGACATTTCAGCAGCTTTTATAGATCTCAGACATGCTTTCCATTTATGACAAATGTCTTTTAAGAGCATTCATTGACAGTATCTCTGTTATTATTTTTTTGTCTTAAGACCGATGTGATATCCAGGATGTTCCCCTGCTTCGTTCAGAATGCATGCAGGAATACACAACAGATATCTGTGGTTCACATAGGAAATAACCAGGTAAAGAAACCAAATGTATGCCAAAACTGGTGTAGAGTTGTTGGAACTGTTTGTCTTTAAAAAAAATTCAGAATATTATAATCAGTCAAGTATTTGAAAGTTTTTTTTATTGTTCCAATCTGTTTTTCAGGAGGACAAATTAATAGACAACCGACTCGTGGTTCCTTTGAAGAGCCTACCCAGAGACGATGTGCTGTAAATGGGAAAAAAAAGAGGATGTAGTTTTTAAATGGTATTAACCTCTGAATTACTCGTAGTGAATAGTGGAATTTCCTCTGTAGTAGCAGTAAAGTTGGGTTTTTTTATCTTATCATTTGAAGTTTCAAAATCCTGACACATATTCAGTCATTGAGCTTCCAAAGAGTCATAAATATATATATAGTATCCAGTACAGTAAAATGTGATGAAAGACTTTCATTTCCTTCTGGTATGTACTGTTTCGGGAAAGATGTGCACCTGCAATGTGTCAACACAAGAATGATGGGAAGCAGAAACACCGGTTTAAATCTGTGTGTACATTTCCCGTAATTTAGTGATGGTTTCCTTATTTCATGCTCTGTTATCTGGCCTTTGTTTATTTCTGTTTTTTTATTATTGGAAGCAATGTGGGTCAAATGTAAATGATGAGTCAGCATGGTCATATACAAAACATCAGTTGACACATCTTTATTGAAAACAGTTTGGGTTACTTTTCAAAAAATATATGAAAAGTGAACTGTAAAATTAATATAACAAACACACAAAGAGCAGAGACTGGAATGACTACTACATGTTTATTTTGTATGAAGTTACCATTTTTAAAAATGTTGATTTTTTTTAAATACTGTTATGTTTTCTTACTCTTATTTTTAAATTATATTACAATTTCCAATAGAGTTGTCAGCCTAAACAATTTTCTATTTTGTTAGGTTTATGCTACTTGGAAAAGTGCTGCATTGTACAGAAGCCTCTGCTTTATTCTCAAAATCCATCCATAGGTTTCTTACACTTAATCAAAGCAGGATTATCTTGTGTTAATTATTGTCTGCACACTGGAAATTGTGATGGTTTTTGTGTTACTTTTAAAATGATGGGGTTAATAAAAGTAACAAAATAAGGAATGTGTTAGCACTTGAATTTACAGTTTAACTCATCCAAAATAGTTAGAACATTGTATTTAATCATGTCCACTTAGGTAATAATGGTAAACGTTTCAAGGACTTAATATTTATACCACTTTGTCACTAATAAATTTAAATCAAGTTCCCAGGTTCCTTGAGAATCTAAAATAAATGTGGTTAAATGTAAAACTTAGTTTTAAACTTTTTTTTTTATTTTTCTAAAACAATCCATACCTTGAAACCACTTATCCACCTGTGCTTGTGACATCTTAAATAAAAATACAATTTACAACTACTTAAGTAATTTTATCCATATGCTAGAAAAAACATTGAAGTGATTTGAGGTTTCTCCTCCTGTATAGAGCAATTGGGATCTTTTTAATAACTTCTAAAGTTTTAAAATGATTTTTATTCAATTTTTTTCTGCATTTTACATCAATTTTAGTAAACCTGAATATACTTCAAAATAAGTTTCACGTTTCTAGAATATTTTTAAAAGTAACCTTTGTGAAGGAAACAAACTATTTATGAAAGAGCTGACATGTTAGTTTTCTTCATAGTACACGTGATGTTAAGTAAAGCAGCTGAAACCATCATGGCTGCCAGATACACAACGAGAACACCAAGTACAAAGGCGGTTCATTTCACATGGTGTTCTTTTATTGCATTTTTTTTTTTAATAATTCAAGCATTCAGACAAAACATAATATCCCCAAACACTCTTGCTGTAAGCTTTCATAAATCAAACTAGTACGTCAGTCTTTAATGTTGTGAAGATTGTGCTTCCGTGCACGTTGGTCCTGGATCCTCCAACCATCTCCGTGCTGCTGCGGATCGTCAGGCCGAGGCGCCTCACCAATCATCCGCGGCCCTGTTCGAATCCTCTTCGGCTACAGCACAGTCCAGGCGCTGCACGCCAGGGAGCGCCAGGTCCCTTTCGTTAAGTTTTTCCAGAAACGAAGAAAGGAGTCGTTTGTTTAAATGGTCCGTCAGCGTCCTTTCTTCTTCCACCCGCTGCTTGGCCACGTTTGTCCCCGGCTCCACTTCTTCCGCCTCCGTGTCCACGCCGAGCTGCAGAGGCGCCGAACGCTGCTGGCTCAAGGGCAACCCGTTCGGCTGCTCACCTTGCCCGGACTCCTGCTCCGTCCAGCTCCCGGCGTCCGCCCCGGATTCTGTCTCCATTTGTGATATCAAGCTGGTCTGCAGGGCGGCATTTTCCAGTTCTTTGAGTCGTTTGCTGTGAAGGCCGCAGGCAGGCGGTTCATTACCTGCCGGGATGTTATTGTTGTGAGGGGGCTCACCAGTTTGCTCCATCATGCTCTGCGTCAGTTGAACAGCCCATAGTTCCAATGGACTGGTCGGAAGGAGAACTGACAGGTATCGCCGTCTAGTGGATTGCAACAGTACTGCAGCTTTACAAAATTAGAAACTCTTGTTTTGATTTTTATTGGCAGCTGGCATCCAACTTGGCGCGGGCATCTGGTAAGGATGCCTCCTGGACGCCTCCCTGGTGGGGTGTTCCGGGCACGTCCCACCGGGACACACCTCAATGATGTGTACGATGTGCAAATTCACATCTTAACACACTCATTAAATACATGTATGAATGCATGAGCATCCACTGGCATACACACATACTTACACATATCCTAAATATGACTCATTAACCCAATGTTATTTAAGAAGCTAAATAAGAGATTTCTAACATATTTTGATTTATTACCTAATAGATTGATCATAGACAGTCCTATATTCTTTCTGCTTAGTAATGACGTTAAAAGCTGACGTTCCTCTGAGTATTTATCACATTCTAACAAGACATTCTCCACTGTTTCCACCTGATTGCAATAATTACAAGCCCCATTCCCATATTTGAAACTCTTACTTGTACTTTTGAATAAATAAGCAAAACAAATGCAGTTTTTTTTGTTGTTGTTGTTGTTGTTGCATTTTTTTATATTTGGAAGTATTTTTCTTATAGAAGCATCCTGTATAGAAGCTTGTTTCTGCCAATATTTGAAAACAAAAGGACATGGATCTCATAATGGCTATCTCATACTTTTGACCTAGCTCTCAAAACAATAAAATACTCTTTATTATAATATAGCTTAGTCAAAATAATACGTTTCTCCATCACAGGGGCAGAAACAGGTCCCCACAGCCATGGGATTTAACAAAAAATACTTGCCCTTAAAATTATCTTGTGTTGTTGTTGTTGTTGTTGTTTGGTCATAATAAATGTTTTAGATTATCAAGCAAATTTGCACCATACAAATATAGTCAGAGTTAGTTTAAATATATGTTTTAAAATTATTATTAACTAATCTACCCTTATAGAAAAATAAAATTGGCCTCCAAAAGGAACATAACTGCATTTTTGGTTCAGTGTCACTGTCTGATTTTAAGAATTAAAAAAATCACTAAAATGGAGCCAGTCTGACAAGGAAGCAGGCAAAAAATATTCAGTTTTCGTTTTATTTAGGAGTTTACTGGAGACCATAACACCATATCTCTCTTAAACTGTTAATGGTTGAATGGACTCATCTGTAAATTTGGTTAAAAAAATTAAAACAAAGTTAATTAGAAGGCTTAAAATTAATTAAGATATTCTGTATAAGACAATCTAACCAGCCTCTTTACGTTATTTTATAAATAAAAACAACGAGCCACAGCTGCCATGGGAAAAAAGCGGTGTTGAAAGATGTTACTTGTAAGTAAAATGGCGATATAAGGAGATTTCTGTGATTGCATCATTTGGTCTGATAATATCTGATGAACACTAATCAATATTGCTGTTTACACATTAGAAAGTACATATTTCACATATTTTGTAACATTTTGAGGTATGTCTGTGTTACCTCAAAATGTAACACATTTTTAAAAGGAACCTTTGGTTCCACAGTTCAAACAAACTAATGAACCACAGTTCTTTGGTTTGTTTCTAACTTCCAATAAGTTAGAAACAAACTATTTTTAAACTTCCGTTTCTCAGCGGTGTGACCTCTTCTCAATTTTTGCTTCGAACATTTGACCGCTTTGACTTTCCGTAGAACAGAATGTGTTTCCATAGCGACCATTTATAGCATAGACCACGGGATCGTCTTTGTAACGGTACCAGGTAACAAAATGATGTCTGTAAACGCCCTAGGACATATGTAATTTATGCGAAATGAGTTGTAAAAGATGCAATATTATAGATTAACATCTCTTTAGCCACTCAAAGCGACGCAGATCATTAGCTTTCAGCTAACTTCGAGCTAATGAGTAGCTATACAGGCTTAGCTAACACAGCTGTGAAATTAAATCTACAAACTGTAGATATTTATTTATGCTTTCGTTTCTTCTACTACTTAGAACAAGTGTGAAACGTTGCTTGTTAAGAATAACATTCACTGGATTATAAATAAAGAAACAATAATTCTGATCAATTATTATGAAAACAAGTATTTTTTTTTTCTTTCGTTTTTCCTTTCTTTCAGGTCAACATGTCCTTCAGAGATTTAAAAAGTAAGTGAAACCTTGTATTTCCCCACCTTTTATCTAACAAACAATATTTTGCTCCAGATGTTAGAATAGAACTGAATATGTTTGTGATTTGGCAGACTTCACAGAAATGATGAGGGCCTTGGGCTACCCTCGCCTCATATCTATGGAAAATTTCGTAACACCAAACTTCACCCTAGTAGCAGAAATCCTAATATGGCTTGTAAGGAGGTATGTTTCAGCTTTTAAAATCGAAATGCTTCTTGTAATAACAACACTTCTGCTCAGATAGTTCTTCGCCTTCATGTGGTATTTTCACATCCGTCATTCCAGTCGAAATATTTCTTCTAATCCTGATTAACAAATAAAGAGCTGTTCTAAAATAGTCATTGGTTCTCATGTTCTTTTCTCTTTTATTGTAGATACGAGCCTCACGTTGATATCCCCACTGATGTGGACACAGAGTCAGACAGAATATTCTTCATTAAGGCAGTGGTTCAATTCATGGTGAAATACTATTTGGACAGATAATATGTCCTTAACTGTAGTTAACTAAAATCCACTCTGTTTTAATCATTGTCTGACCCGGTTGCAGGCAACCAAGGCTCACATCAAGCTAAACACCAAGCATCTCTACCAGGCTGACGGCTATGCAGTGAAAGAGATGCTGAAGATCACATCGGTGCTGTACAATGCCATGAAAACCAAGCAGATGGCTTTGGAGGATGCAGTGGAGGAAGATAGCAACAAGTTCAAGTTTGATCTTGGCTCTAGGGTGAGGTGCAATTATCATTCAAATTTTATGTGTTGCTGATAGTCCACTAACTTAATTAAATAAATGTCAGTTTTAAGAAGAGTAAAGAAAAAAGGAAAAAAAAACATAAAGGACATATAAGAGTGCTTTAGATAGTCAATAAGACAGTTAATGTAATGTGCAGTCAAAATAACTTTGTCTATCTAATTGGTAAACAGCGTTCTGTCTATATAAGCCCATCCAAATGCAAAGAGTCTTTGAAAAGGGTTGAAAATGTAGTTCGTTAACATTTATTGTAAGAACTCACAAGAACTTCACCCAACATTCTCAAGGATTTTACAATACTTTTAATGACTCATGGAGTTGATTTTTTGTCGTACTAGTTGTGTTTCAGTGTCAGAGATTTTAAACAATTTAAACAGCAGGAAATAGGAAATGCTGTATCTGATAATAGTGTAAATATACCTTTTCTTTAAATTGATTTAGTTCTTTGGTTGCAGTATTCTCCTGAACATCAATTTGACACATACCTATTTGCCAAGCCTGCACACTTTTTTTTTGTTGTTATTTTTTTGCACATTGTCTACAGTGTCTCTACTTTTCTCATGTTTTCTTTTCCCTGAAATAATTTAGGTCTTTAATTCCTTTGTTAAAGAAGAAAGAGTCAAATGTGAGTCAGCTGATCTCTCCATGTCTTTTCTGCAGATCTCTGAGCTCAAAGCAGCACGTCAGCTGGCATCTGAAATCACATCCAGAGGAGCATCTCTGTATGATTTACTGGGGAAAGAGGCAGAGCTCAGGGTGAGGCAAAGTTGGTTGTTGTTTCATAATAGCATATCGGTAAAAAAAAAATAAAGCTTGACTATTTCAAGTTTAGTATCGGTGAAGAGATTTTACCTGCATTATGGATATGTTATTCTCAAGCTTCTTTAAACACAAATATGAGTGAAATGTTGCGAGTAGCTTCGATGCTCTGAAGTTAACGAAATGTTAAATCTCTTTCTGCAATCCTGCAAAAAGAGATTTAAAGCAGTTTGATACATGAATGACCGTCATTAATGCTTTTATTTCGTCTTCACTTTTTTGGTGCTCGCAGGAAATGAGAACTGCTGCCATTGCTCGACCTCTTGAGATCAATGAGACAGAAAAGGCACTGAGAGCTGCAATCAAAGAAACTCTGGTGAGTATTCTGAGTGTTTATCTTTTTAATCCCATTGGTTTTCATCTTCATTCGCTTAAATACTTTAAACTGTGATCGTGCCATATTGCCTTTGTTACCAGGAAATTGTCGAAAAGATCAAAGAGATGCTTAGTAATGTCGTCTCAGACGAGACCAGTCTGGACGCCAAGATAGAGAAGAAGAAGCAGGATCTGGAGAGGCATCAGAAGAGGCTGCAGACTTTACAGAGTGTCAGGTCAATTATAATTTTTTTATTTTTTTTTTTTTTTTTACATTTAACCATCTTAAATGTAAAAGATCGAAATTTGAAATAAGTCTTGAAACAAAACCCATTGAAACATTTTCAGGCCAGCATTCATGGATGAATATGAAAAGATAGAAGAAGAGCTGCAGAAGCAATATGAAGTCTTTGTGGAGAAATTCAGAAACCTCACCTACCTGGAGTCACAACTGGATGAGTACCACAGGCTGGAGCAGGATAGGTTTGAGGTGCGTGGATGGAATAGATATGCTATGTAGAATGCTTAATCCTATTGATAATCCCTCCCTTTAAAGATATATTATATGTGATGCAGTATTTGCATCTTTCTGCCTGCCTGTGTTTCTGTTTTTCTCATTAATTCCTTGGATATTTTTGCTGCAACATTGTCTGGAACTTGTAGATTAACTATATTAAGTTTTACATTAAATACTTGAGTCTTGTTTCCAAGTTTAAAAATGTTCAACCGGCTCTTCATCTAAAACGGGGTTTCTTGCGTACGCATTAGGAAGCTGAAAACTGCCTGAGGATAATGCAACACAAACTAAGGGAGGAGGAGAGAGATCTGATGAAGGGCTCATGTGAGTTAAACAAGAACCAAACCAAGCAGAATTAAAACACAACCTTTTTTTTTTTCTCCGTCTAAACATTTTTGTCTTTGTGCTCGACAGTGAAAGACTCTGATTCTGATTTGGATGTTCCAGAGGACGAAGGGTCAGATAGTGACCTTGAAGAATCTCGTCCATCTAAGCCACAGCCCTCAAGAAATGCCCCCATGGCAGGTATGCAGGTGGACTGCAGCCAAGATAGTGATAAGAAAAACTAGTGCCTTTACGAATTAGACAAAATTTATATTTTTAATTATCATTCATCTCATCCCATGATAACCAGTTTATTTAAAAATACTTTGATAGTTTTTCATTTGGATTTTTTGATACCATTATGCACAGCATTCCTATATTTATTTTACTCTCCGTCAACAAGAAGAAAAGAGGAACTTCCATTTCTTCCCTCTAGCCTCTTACATATTTAAATTATATTTATTGAGTTATTTTGATTTTACAGGTCCACCTAAAATTCTATTTTTTATTAAACATGGTTTTCAGAAAACTCTTTCTGTCCTAAAAATTCATAATTGCTTGTGCTTTTTCCTTTCTGCGAAGGAAGAGGAGCACGGTTCATTGGCAACATGCAGGGTGATGACAGTGAAGAGGTAAGTGATGTTCTTATCTTCACACTGATACTCTTTTTACACAATGTTTCTGAAACCAGGCTACATTACTTCCTGTTTTCCGCCAAGCTCTGTCAGCAGGGCTCAGTGTGAATTATTTTCCTGTTAACCTTCATTTAAAGATTGTGCTGTTATAAACTCTGACCAGATTTACCACCTTCTTTGGTTTCCGGCGTATCTCTTCATTTGCTGTTTCATCAGTCTGTTTCCTTTTGCTATTTTCTTGTCATTGTCACTTGGATTTTAAAGGGGCTTTTAGCAGTCTCCAGAAGGTCAGTCCCTGAATCCAAAAAACAGCGGAAAGGAAAGGTTTGTTCAGAAAAGGATTCAGTTAACCTTCATGTCCCCGTATGTATTAGAAGGAAACATCCATTTGCAAATTTCCTATTTAACCCTAATGTTGAAAAAAAGTGTTGTCAAAATGGTTTATATTATGTTTTAAGGAATTGTGCTGATATTTTTAATAGTTCTAATGTCTGGGGTAAGAATGTATTTTTCCTTCAAATGCAACAGATGCTATTTTTTTTTCCAAAGTTTTTTTGTGATATAGGAGTAAAACCTTGCCAAGCCTCTGTGTTTAGTTAGAATAAAAACATGTTTCTTTGTTTTTTTTATTATTTTAAGTTTCCACAGTGTGTGTTTGTGTGTGTCTAGTAATCTAATTTTCCTGGAAAAATATAGTTATATCATCCAACAGTCCTATCATAGGTAGACTTCAACTTTTTACTTGTTGATGTTGTTATTGCTGCTTGCTTCCTGTTCCAGAGTGATGACAGTGAGATTGATGCAGATGAGGATAATGAGGAAGACGAAGATGAAGACGAGGAAGGTGAAGAAGAAGAGAGGAGGGAGGAGGATGACACCTTACAGGTCCTGTTGTCGAAGAGTAATCGACCTCCTAGGGGAGGAGTGAGACCGGCCCTGCCGGAAGAAAGTGATGATGACTTTTGAGTTGGGGACACAATCATGAGCTGTGCACTTTTTTATGTCCGAGCTGAACTCACTTCTTGGAAAGCTCCACTATCATTTTTATTTGCAGATATATCCTCTGTTCTTTGATATTTATATATTCTGCTGACAAAAATAAAATTAAAACTTCTGTTTTAATTTTTGTTCTTTTCCAAATATGACAGTTTTATAAATAAGTTATCTATGTGGCAGTTTGGGCATATTTTGGCAGTTTTTTTATTTTTTATTTTTTTATTGTATGCTGTACTTTCTAAGGGAAAATATTTGTGACTATTAAACAAATTCTAATTTGAGCTCTCAGTAAATCATTTCAAAGGAATGTGTAATAGGATACACTCAGCAGTACTTGGTAAGAAAAGAGAGAAAGTTTGAATAATAATTTATCTGAAAAATGTTTTCTAGGTTTTTTAATTGGTGGATTCAAACAGATGTAACTTAAGAATATTTAAAAAAAAAATTAACATAGTCTAGTTTTCCTTGTGGCTTCTTTGTAGTTGTTTTTACCTGATATGGTGGGTAAAAAATAAAAATAGAAGATTTATACAATTGAAACTAAATATTTACTTATACAATTAGTAGTAGGAGTGCCTTTCAACTTTTTGAGAAAGCACAAATGGTCACCAAGCTTCAAAAGTAATTTTCAAAAAGTTACTCAAGGAAAATTAGCTTTTACTATTCACCTCTGTTTGTGAGAATCAGCCAGTAGCAAAATGCGTGTAAGGTTTAATGTTTTAATTTTTTATTATTGTTATTGATGAAATTTTGAATAATTAAAGTCTGGTTCATTGGATCGAAAAAAACCTACGTCTATTATCTTATGTATTTACGAATAAATATGAAAAGCTAAACGGATTGTAGTATTTTCGTGTGTTTTGTTTTGATTTTGGCTCATTAGAGTTGACATTTATCAAAAAAATAACCATAACGACCAAGTTATCTTGCGGTAAAAACAAAAAAAAAAGCAACGTATGAAGTTAATAAAAACGTAAAATACATAAGTAAACATAGAAGATAGATAATAAGTCAATAAGTAAAATAAAATCGACATCAATGTTGTGTTTTGTGAAATTAAGGCATCCATGACGCAATCATTATGCGCGCTGCGCTAGGAGGCGGTGGCGGATGCCTCTTCGAAACAGAAAACTGTCTTTTACCTAGGACTTGGTTTTCCTCTCATCCTGGTATGAAAACGACTTGTAATTGAACAACTAAGTGGTGTGACGACTGTTCGTTTAGTTACAACATAGTGAAGTAGCTGAGAGAGCTGTGAGCTCCTTGATAAGTTAACAAGCCTGTTTTATCAGGGTAACAGCGGCTAACTGATGCTAGGTCGCTCCTCCTGACAAACACAATGCTGACATTTTTTTTTTTTTTTCAGAATATTTGAGCTTTAATTTATGAGTTTGTAACCCATCGGCTTGTCTGTTTGTTAACCAGTCTATTTGTTAAGTGAGCTTTACAAACTACTCACGCTTGAGATGTAACAAAAATAATTTGTATCAGATTAATTAGACGTTATTTTTGGTCTTAAGTTTGTGAGGGTGAAAAAAAAAACTAGATTGATGCAGTTTTTCGGTCGTAAACTACCGTAGATCTCGTTTAATAGAAGCTGTGGCGCATAAATTAACATGGAGATTGTTTACAGTTATCCTTTACATCAGGTTGACAGCCATTCTTTGTTGATGCTGGAATGTGCCGTCATTGTTCCGTCAGGGGTTGCATCACCCACAAATGGATTTTTGTACAGTTATCTAAACCACATTTACGTTATGTAGTTTTTAAAATTTAAACTGCAATGTCACAAACCGAGATGTAACAGTGGTTTGAGCGTCGTTTTTAAATTGTGATGAGTAGTTTCATTAGCTATGTACATTGACTCCCTCAATCAAATAATTGAATTAAGGTCTTCCAATCATTTCAATGGCCACAGAGCTTTTATAAACATTTCTCAAACAATGGGTCACTCTCACTGTCACAAGGTGCACCTGTGCAATAGTTTGTATCAAGAAAGCTACTCAACTTAATATTCCAATCAGTTATTAGCAGTATTCTAACCAGAGGTAGAGCACCCCAAAATTATACTCGAGTAGAACTACGTCAGCATATGTTTACTCAAGCAAAAGCAAGAAGTAGTCATCCAAGAAATTACTCAAGTAAGGTTTAAAAAGTATTTGCTAAAATATTCTGAGTAACTAAACATAACATTTGATGAAATGTGTATAAATGAAATTACCAGACAATGAAAAATATAAGACTCGGTGGAAGTTCTGGTATTTTACAAAGTAATTCAGCCAAGTTTTCTCTTTTTTTTTTTTCTGTGTAAAATGTATTAAACTACCATAATTCATACAGGAGGTTGTATGTATGTTAGAGGGTAAAGGTACTTCCAGTGACAATGTATCCTGTTCACTTTATCTTCTTAATTTACAAATGATACAACAGGCTAAGCAGAAAGAAAATAACAAATGGAGCTTGTGTACAAACACGAGGATTCACCCCAATGCAAACTGTATGACTGCGTCTCATGCATGCTGGCTAAAATATTTCTGTTTGTCATTCAGCGAAGTTGCTCCCAGTGGGTAGAGTATCCATATGTTTTACTCAAATAAGATAATGACACTTCATAATAATATTACTCAAGTAAAAGTAGTATGGTTTAGTTAAACTACTCCTAAAGGCACATTTTACATATAAGGGCTGGAAACACTTGCAGCGCAGGCTATCATCAAGTGGATCAGTGGAGACGTGTTTTCTGAAGTTACAAATCAATTCAGTGGATACGTCGCCTAGGTTTGGCTGTCGCTAGAACAACAGCTCTTCCCTGACTGAACCTTGTCAAGTGAACAGTTGCTTTCCGGACAAGTTTGTTAAACATTACTGCACACTAGGGCACAAGCTGATACCTCACAAAACACCTTTAGGATGAATTAGGATGAAGACTGCAAGCTAGACCTTCCAACCAGTGTCTGACCTTACAAATGCTCTTTTGAAAGAACCGTTTAAACATCCTCACAAATATGCCCATAAACCTTGTGGGGAGCCCTACCAGAAGAGCTGCGTAGGGTGGGCTGACATTATGTTAAACTCTATCTGAATCCTTGCAAAATTTAAATTTGCTGTCAAATTTCACCTGCATCTCTTCAGTTGTTGACATAATATTCCATTTACATCTTCCATTTTTTTAATCTAAATAACTTTGAAAAAGGAAGTTCACTACATGTAGAGTGTTTTAATGAAAGCTTCCCCTATCTCTCTTATTTCACGTTATCTCACCTCTCCCTGTCTTTCAGCTAAAAAGCAGCTGTCAGGATGCCAAAGAAGTTCCAGGGTGAGAACTCCAAGGCGGCCACTGCCAAAGCCCGCAAGGCTGAGGCCAAGGCGGTGGCAGACGCCCATAAGAAGAAGGAAGAAGAAGACGCTCTCTGGCAAGAAACAGACAAACACGTACTTAAAAAAGAGCAGAGGAAGGTGAGCAGAGATGTCAAATCATAGATTAAACCTAAATTAATCACGGGACGCATCTATCGTCTTTTGTTATTCAAATCAGCTCTTTGACTATTGCATTTTCTCTTTTCTGCCTCTTGTTCCCCTTTTTATTTGTTTATATAGTATGCAAAATGACGGTTGCAGAAAATGTTAACTTGCCAAATCTGAAGTGTTAACAACCTGAAGACACAACCTCCATTATAAAACACGGTAGAGGCAGGAAGAGGGAACCCACCGGGAGTTGATGGGTATATAGACACCAGTTTTATATCACTGGGGGATTCCCAGACTTCAGAAGCACAGAATCAAAGCTGAGAGAGACTTGCAGCTGTGTTTGCTTGGGACGATGGCTCCTCATGGTTTTGGCTCAGGAACATTTAATTCCAATGCAGACTACCACTTATCATATCTTAATTTGTTAAAAATTAAGATATGATTTATCTTCACCGTTATGCATTTCACTGTGTTGGTCTACCCAGTCGAATTCTAACAAAACGACCTGGGATTTGTGGTTAGTATTATGACAAAATGTGAGATGGTGCATCATGTATGAATACTTGCGCAACAAACCATATATAAGCAAATGTCGCTCAGTAGTATTGTATTATAGGAAATATTTTAAGGATAACCATTTCACTTTTGCAAACATTTAATAAGGAAGCTCTGGTTTGTTGCGTTGATAAAATAAGTGGAAACACTTTCTCTCTTCCTCCAGGACGACAAGGAGAAGAAGCGGTTGGAGCTTCTTGAGAGGAAAAAGGAAAACCAGCGGCTCCTGGACGAGGAGAACGCCAGGATTAAAGGAAGAGCACAGAGGGAGGCAGCAGCTGGTGGAAAAGTGACTCGTGCTCAAATTCAGGACGTACTTCAAAATGAGCAGCAGCAAGAGCTGGAGATGAAGCCGAAAGGTAGCATTTGGTTTGGAGATCCTGGACCACATGTGTTTGTGTTGAAATAAAATTAAAACCCTTCCATCCACACAGAGAAAAGCCACCTGGAGACTCCTCTGGAGGAGAATATTAACAGAGTCATAGCTGAAGAAGGAAGTGTGGAAGCCCGAACAATCGAGGAGGCCATCTCTGTGCTCAGGTAGGAGACGTGTGGCATTTTGACATTGCTGTCATTACAGAGGTTGTTGGCCGTTTGTCATCGTTGACTCGTGTTGTTTCACTGTCTCCCAGCACGGGGCCGGAAGACCTGGACCGCCATCCGGAGCGGCGGATGAAAGCTGCTTTTACTGCCTTTGAGGAAGCAAACATGCCCCGACTAAAAATGGAGAACCCCAACATGAGGTTGTCGCAGCTAAAGCAACAGCTGAAGAAAGAGTGGGCCAAATCTCCCGAGAACCCTCTGAACCAGCGTTTTGCCTCCTACAACTCGAAGTGAATTCATGTTTTTCACAGTGTCGCTTGGAAACTCTGCTTGCTTAGGCAAATTGGAGACTTTGATTCGAAAAACTAATAATTTCACTAAAAAAAGAGTGTCAGTAATGATGCTTCATCAGCAATCACCCGGCTACACCTTATCCTGTGCCAGAGGACTTGACTCTTTTGTTTAATTTAGTAGTAAGAGGAACTGCTTTTCATCTCCCAAAATAACAACTGTTTATCATGTTTCTGAGCATGGCCTTTAATGAGGCAACTCAGCATCTCATTAATTAAATTACTTATTCTTTAGCCCTTCTGGGAAGGTGGGGAGCCAGATGTTTTGGGAATAACTTATTAAAGTTCACGGCTGAATCATCAACATTTTGTGTTTCTTTTTCTTTTTTTTGGTCTTTTTTATTTTTTTTTTTTGTGATGCACAAACTAATAGAAAACCAGTGCAAGTCATGTCACATTTGTTTTCAAGATGGAGGACGAGTATAGGTTTATGTCCAGCTTACATAGGGCACACTAACCATTGAATTTTAGAAATATATTAGTTAACGCTAAGTTTTGTACACTAGAAGTTTAGTTTGCCAAGCAGTTTGATTATTTAGTTTAGTTAGTTTTTTTTAAAACAGAAAAATAGAAGCCTTTGAAGCCTTTTATTGAACTATGCATACTGACAAAGATTGCTAACATTTCTATCTCAATATTCTCACAGTGTATTTTAAATGGACAGCAGCAGTTGCCTGTAAGGATGCTGGTTATTTAATATCCAAGTCAAATTTATTTACAAGCAGCAGAAGTTCTGCACACATGGAAAATCCAGTAATGCACCAAGAAAATAAGAAAATACAGGTAAAATATGGTAAAAAAAAATAAATAAATAAAATAAAATTACAATAAAGGATGTCATAACTCAGCTGTTCTGTTGTAATACCAATGTCAACACAGTTTTAATGTCAAGGTTTAGGAAACGTATCATCAAAGTACTGTATGTTCTTTAATTTGCTCCTTAAGTCATACTGGCCTGTCTTTAATGTTTTAGGAGTATCAAGTATTGGAATATCTGACTGGTATGGAGATCCTTATCGTTCAATGACTGACAAATTATAAATTGATTTCTCTAAAGAGTGGACAGTCTTTGCAGTGAAGCAAAAACAGATTAAATGTGGTCTCTCTTGAGATGACCTGTCAGAGACACAGGCTATAATAAGAAAAGGGGAGTAAAGTTTGTGAGATATGAGGGAGTGAAGGACTTTCACAAGATTTAAAAATAGAAGAAATAACTTTAACAAGAGCCCTAAGTATGAAATGGTCATGGTCAGTGTAAAATCACTACCTTTATTAAGAATTAATAAATGCAAGTTTTTATGTCTTGTAGAAACTTAAGAAAAAAAGTCTGGGAAATCAAATGCTGTTCATACTCGCCTTTCTTTGCCTTTCTATTTATTCAGACCTGAAAGATGATCAAAAATGGCTTCATACTTTTTCCAATTTTTTTCAAAACCCTTGTAAAATTTTGGAAATGCATTTTATATGACTTGTTAAATATTGCTAAGTTTACATTGTTGCTAATATTTTGGGTCAAAAAAAAACACAGTGCTGTTCACATATGTTTTATCTAATACAGCAGCTGATAAATTACTGAGTTACTGACACATCAAGCAGCAGACTTTACAGGTTTTGTATGATCCTAATGTTAGAATACAATAACATTTTTAGCAGTTCAGTTTCATTTAGGGAACATGAATTTTTTACATATCTTATATGTGTACATCTCGGGTTACAGCCTGCATACTGGTTAGAGCATTAAAGAAATAGAAATGTAAAGGATTTTTTTTTTTTTTATCTAGAAAAAATAAATGATGTTGCTTCTGCCTCACATAAAAAACCCAAACCAGCAAAGATTTGGTTGAATAACCTCCACCTGAGTCAGTGTTTTTTCTTCTTTCTTGCTGGTGATTTCAAACATGCTTCATTAAACACTGATTGCTATATTGGACCTGCAATTGCATTTGTTAGATCTTCTAAGGCACAGGTGACAAGGCCTTGTGCTGCATGGCATGATTCATTCAGAGCCAGGTTTAAAAACGGGCACTTTTGTTCGGCAGGCTCTTGTGGCGGAAGAGATAAGAGACGTCGCAAAAGGCCTTTGAGCCACAAGCTTCAATAACAACTTCAAATGACCTTTTATTTACCACTTTGCTATGAATGCTAGCAATTGGCCTTGTTTTCCCTCCCAGCCTACCTGTTTCCTTCCAATTTATTTCCGTGTGATGTCCCGCCCTAATTCTGTGGTCTGATGTTACAGATTTTTTTATTTTTCCCTCCCTGTCCTTTACCTGCACCCTCTCACTCCCCTCCATTTGCATGGCAACCCTTCATCAGGCAGCTGCTGCTTATTTCTTCCTTCATTTTGAATTCTAATCATTTCTTTCAAAGGAAAGCATCTTTAAAGCTCCTTCATCAAGTGTCCACACTGGGAGCAGGCAAGCGGCCATCTAACACCCACTCAGGCTGCTCTCCTTCTTAACACATCACTACTGTTGATGGGGCGAATATTTGTTTGCAGGCTGCTTCTTCAAGTTTGGACAGAATCGAAAGAAAAGCAGGAACGAGGTAAGAATCACCTGTAGCTGTAGAGAATTCTAAGCCATTTTTATTTACAGAGAAAAATGTTGAAAGAAACAAGTGAATCTTTTTACTGTTGCCTTTAAGTAATGGCTGAATTCAAGATTCAACATTGTATTTTAAGGAAAAATGCCATTGTTTCACTGATTTGGCATAATTCAAAGAAAAGTAACTGGCTTCAGAATTATTTTGATTTGATTTTACATTTTATACCGTAATCTGTTCATTAGTTAACATTTACAAATCATAAAGTGATACTTAGAGTAACATGTCATGATTCAAATTTATAATAAGTTAGAAATGTGTTGCATGGAAATGAAACTGGCGGAGCTTTTCTCACTCTTTATGGTTGCCAGGTTTGGTAAATAAAGAAAACAGGGCACAGGGGGGGGGACATCTGATTTTGACAGTTTGCTTCATATTCACAACCTCGTGTAAAGACAACCTGTAATTAAATAAATAAGCACTTTAACAACCATGAATACAAGCCTTGAAACTAATTCAGACACACAAAGGGGTCCGATTAATCTATTAAAAGATTATAACAAATGCCTCTTGAAACATTATACTTTCTTTGAATATACTTTTGGCCTCTGCATGAATAAAGATCATTGTGCAGATTTGTCATTGACAAAAAGTCCTTACAACTTCCTCACACAAAAATACTTTTACTCTGCTAATGCTTAAAATTCTTCCTTTAAACTTCTGGAATTTTTTTAAGCTTCCTTTTATTATTTGATGATAATAATAAATATCTTCAAATACCAGATATTTACAAACATCTTTTTTATGGATAACACAGGTCCTTGTTTTTATATTGAAAATACAAAATATGACCTCTTTATTCCCTACAACCTGTCCAAATATAATCTACAGTGATTTATTCAAAGTAAAACTTGACTTATTTGTCAAACCTTATCAACTTTTCAACAACATTTAGATGTAATTTGCTGTGCTTTTATAGACACATTTTCAACCTCATGTTTACGGTGTTTAGACTCAAAACCTATGTAATCTTTTTTATTGGTTTTCTGCATATTTATGGCTCAGGGCATAGACACTGATTATTGATCTCAACTCCAATAGTCAGTGCTGAACGGCTTTCAATAATATTCAGTGGATTAGATGGTTAAAACGTTTGGGAACATCTATAGTATTCTTATAATCTAGAGATTACTATAACTATTGCATTTTTTTTTTTAGATTCATCAGAAGTGAATGTGTTTTTTACTCAAATGGACATCATGTCTTTTCCGTCTTGCAGAGATAACATGAGGTTGATCCTGGTTAAACCCACCAATGCAACAAGACGTCTTGACTCAACAGGTGAAGTCTTCCAAGATGGAGAACATCAGCACTGTGCTACAGGAGGTCCTGAGGAGAAGCACAATCCATTCTCTGGAAGCCCAGAGAAAGCATCTTCATCTCCTCAGAAGAGTCGCTGCTGCGCTTCATCTTCCCTCCATGAGAAGTCAAATGGAATCAATCCTCCGAGAGGCTCAGCTCAGAGGTCGCCTTCAAAAACACAGAACCTTTTGCTGTCACAGCTGAGTGACCAAGACTGGCAGCTGCTTTGCAGAGAGGATCCTCCCTCAGCAGGAAGAGTGGAAGACATTATGGAAAATCCAAACCATACGGACAGATGTGGCTGCCCCTGTCCTGATGCTCTCCAACATTTTGACATCTTAAGTTTACAGCCACAATCAAATAAAGAAAGGGTCCCAAGAGGCAGAACTAAGAGAAGCATTTCATCACCTCATACCCTGCCTTTCCTTGAAAGTACACACCCAACCACCACTTGCCAAGTTTCAGCACAGCAAACAAATCACAAAGATCTTCGCAAACCTCCTACAAACCACCCGAGGAACATCATCGTGCCTCAGTGTTCTGGCCAAGATGAACGGCATTGCAATCATCCAAAAGTCAGAAACTTCAGCCAAGCAACTCATTCTAAGTTGTTCAACAATCCTTTAAACTCAGGTCAGTGTGCTATAAGAAATAAGAAACTCTCTGCACTCAGTTTAAATGTCAACTGGAGAGACCTTTTTGGCAAAGAACCACTTTTGGTGGAGCAGCATCAAGGGAATGACTCTCACTGCTCCTCAACTGATGAACAAACATGGAAGCCATCTGGAGAGTCATCTTTTGCACTAAAATGCCGCCATCTTTCTTACAATCGCCTAACCAGAACGCCATGGGGAAAAAGATCAGCTACACCAGCCAGTCAGAAAAGTTTCACCTCTTTCTCCACCAGCCAGTGTAGTTTGCTTGAAAACCAAGATTTGGTGGAGAGAACGAGAGAGCAAGAAAGTCAGGTATGTCATCTATTTTCAGCGTCCTTTAGGGTTTCCAGAATGTTTAAATGGAAAAAAAAAAATATGATCTTCTCACATATGATTTCGGAGTTTTATGCATGCTGTCTTTGACTGCGACAATTGGCAATATATTGCTTGGTGAACAATGATGCCTTCTTTTGTAGGAACCTTCTCAGCATCTCAGCGGATCGAAACAGTCACTCCCTAAACCCTGCCCTCCACTTCCTGATACCTTAGAAAGTGGCAGTGTCCAAAACGGGGATGCAGTGCGACCGCTCAGCAGCCTGGGCACTTTAAGCTCTAGTTTTGCAGATTTTCCTTCAGACCAGCAGCAACTTCAGCTGCTTCATAGTGCCATTCTTGAGGACGCCTTCTCCAAGGTCATCGGAGACGACTCCAGTAAGGCCAACAGTGAGAACCTGATCACAACAGAGGGAAGCAAACCACAGAAGAAGACCAAGGACATCAGCTACCGGCTGGGTCAGAGGAGAGCTCTATTTGGGAAGCGCAAACAGTTGAGCGACTACGCGTTGGTCTGTGGGATGTTTGGTATCATCGCCATGGTGATCGAGACAGAGCTTTCAAGAACTTTTTACACTAAGGTAACCTATAACTACTGAGAAAATACTGAGACATGATTGGGTCACTCTTTCAAAAAGACATGTTCAAGGTAAAATATGTACTATTGTATACCATAAATAAGGCTGGCTTCATTGAAGGCTATTTTGTAGAATAAGAAATGCAGTTGTCTACTAAGGTTTCAGCCTCATGTAAACAGAGATGAAAGACAAAGTTCATTACCACTGAGGCGCTCAGATATGCTAATATTCTCTGTCCATTGTGAACAGGAATCCATCTATTCTTATGTGCTGAAAGGGTTGATCAGCATTTCCACTGCAATTCTTCTTGGACTCATTCTGATGTACCATGCAAGGGAAATACAGGTATGATCGATGACTGTTCAACACTTTCATTGTTGCTTTTAGAAAAGATTAAAAACCAACAACTTTAAAATGAGAAACAGGTATTTAATTAAGGAAAAATACATAAAAATATTCAAGCATGGTTTATGTTCCCTATATTCACACATTTTATCCTTACTTTTTACAAAATTTAAGGCATAATGTTTGAATAACTTTCTTTTAAACACGTAAAGACTGTATAACGTGGTTGAAAATTGGCTGTGATTACAAAACACTTGTGCTTCAAATTTCTATTTAATTTAAAATCAATAATCTCTGAATTTTTGAAAATGTCAAGACAACCTGCTCCTCGTTATTGGGATGGGAAAAGAATACAGTGTCACTTTGAACACTGGGTTAATCTGCTTTTGCTAATCCAATCTGCTTCAAAAGAAACAAACAAACAAAAAAATATAACAATTCCATATTTTGATGTTTTAATATGTTTTGTTTATATATATTCATCCCATGGTTTAGTGTTAAATATAAACTGATTTTAATCAACCGGTTCTTTTGGATCAAGTAAAACAGATTAGATTAATTTACACTGAATCCATCTTACAATTGAGGAAATTCTATTTTTTATTAACTTTGTTCATTTGTAATAGTTGTTCATGGTTGACAATGGGGCAGATGACTGGAGGATCGCAATGACCTTTGAGAGGATCCTCTTCATTGTGTTGGAGCTTCTCATCTGTGCCATCCATCCAATCCCAGGCCAGTATGTGTTCACCTGGACTGCCCACCTGGCCTTCAACTACGCAGCATCTGTAGATGCCGATGTAGACATCATCCTTTCTGTCCCGATGTTCCTACGACTCTACCTGATCGGACGTGTCATGCTGCTGCACAGCAAGCTGTTCACAGATGCCTCCTCACGCAGCATCGGGGCCCTCAATAAGATTAATTTCGACACTCGTTTCGTCATGAAGACGCTGATGACCATCTGCCCCGGGACTGTCCTGCTGGTCTTTAGTGTCTCCTGTTGGATCATTGCAGCGTGGACAGTGCGTGTATGTGAGAGGTATCATCTCAGAGTTGTTATAATTTGTAGTCTAACAGAGACTTTGAGTATAATTGTCTTAAATTCTTGTTGATGCATCTTCAGGGCCAACATTATACAAACATGCCCACTAATAGTTTGCAACGTCTGCCACGACCAAAAGCTTTGACATGCTTAGGACTTGTTTGTTTGATTACTTTTCTAATGAGGGATAACATAATTTAAATTGTGTGGGTTTTTTGACACAGACCTGGCTTTCAAGCTTTGCTCTTATGTTTTCAAATTTTAACGTCAGACTGCTTTAAACGTTGAACTTGAAAACAGCCAGTTATGTTGAAGTTTCAACAATATATTTGACTTGAAGTTGAAGAGGTTGTTCCCCATCTTAATTATTCAGTCCATTTTGTGCAACAACTGGACTATTCAACAGCTTGATGCTACCATCAGAGTGCTTGTACTTTCCAAAGCCTCACATTGGCTTCCCCACAACATACTTCATTTATGTCCAAATAGCTCAGCCTCAATGTCTCACCTGAGCATAGATATTTTCTGTGTATCTGTAACACTAAATGCTACTACAGCCCCTGCTGTTCTGCCTCAGTAGGTATCATGATGCACAAGAAGTAACAAGCACCTTCCTGGGAGCAATGTGGCTGATCTCCATCACTTTCCTGTCCATTGGCTATGGAGACATGGTCCCTCACACCTACTGTGGGAAAGGAGTTTGCCTCTTGACAGGGATTATGGTGAGAAGGAATACATTTTTATGAGTACTGAAATGAATATCAAACTTAATCTTTGGTTACAACTGAATGAATCTGTTGTGATGCCGACCGCAGCTCTTCCTCTCCACAGGGAGCTGGTTGTACAGCTTTGGTGGTGGCTGTTGTTGCAAGGAAGTCAGAGCTCACAAGAGCTGAAAAACACGTCCATAATTTTATGATGGATACTCAACTTTACAAAAAGGTCTGTTTGCACACAATGCCACTTATTTCTTGAAGAAAAATCTTTTTCCGTCATGAATATTGTCAGTATTTTTTGCTTTAGAGTTCAGCTACCATTTTAAAATGAACATATTTATCAAACTAGTTTACACCTACAAAGTACCAAAATGAAATAAATGGAAGTCATAAAAAGACAACCTATGCCATTTCAAAACTGCTGCTGTGCTTTCTTGTTCATGTGATTTCCCTTCTCAGATAAAAAACACAGCAGCAAATGTTTTAAGGGAGACTTGGCTCATCTACAAAAACACAAAGCTGGTCAAAAAGATTGACCATGCCCGTGTGCGGCAGCACCAACGGAAATTCCTGCAGGCCATCCACCAGTAGGCATCATTATTTGCTTGAATTTGTTTGTTTGTCTCCCTCTTGAAGTATAATTAGGCACTTTTTTAATTGTAAATTCTGTCAAGATAAACTGTACATAATCTTAAATCCATTTAAGAGAAATGAATGTTGGTTTTTTTTATTCAGACTGAGAAGACTCAAAATGGAGCAAAGGAAGCTAACTGACCAGGCAAATACTGTTGCTGATATCGCAAAGGTTTGTGTAATCTCTTCTGAATTATGGAGGAATACACCAGAAAACTATAATCAAACTGCTGTTTTTGATTATAGTATAGCTGTTTTTGATTATATTATAGCAGTTTACTTCCATTTCATTCATTTCAAATGTTTCATCTGTTTTGTTGCTCTGAGGGTCCAAGTTTAGCTGACATTATGAGATATAATGTTAAAATGTTGGACACGATTGACATATTGCATTTTATTTTTAACTTTAGTGGAGATCCACTGAGGTTCTAAAGACATAATGCTCAAATGGCCAAATGACAAATACACCTAATACAATATAGTATATGAAAACACAGTTTTTGAAGAATTCTTAAGTTTTAGCTCTCACTAAATTATTTTTTATGAAATCCAGCATAATTTACATATAAAATAGAGCAGAATGTAAACCAAAACTTGTTTTTCTTGTCTGTATAAATAGTTTATTACTGCATCTATGCTGACAAAGACATAAGAAAAGATCAAAAATATTTCCAGATTGCTGTACAATCTCTTTGCTGTGTTTCAGACTCAGAACATGTTGTACGATTTGGTGTTAGACCTTCAGCATCGAACCGGGGAGCTGGACAGGAGGATCATGGCTCTGGAAGAGAAACTGGACTCTATCCTTGTCAGAGTGCAGTCGCTACCAGTTGTTCTATCTCAAGCAATAGCAAAACTACAAAAAGATTTCCTGGATGACTTAGCTTGCCGCGTTCACTTCCTGTCGTCCTCACTGAGCTCGGAGTGCTGTTCAGCACATCCCAAGCAAATTTGTCCTGGATCAAGCACACCAGAGACGCCATACAGCTGAGAGGCCTCTGTGAGTTTCTTAATTTTTCATATTGGTTGGAACTGTACCAAAAACCATGATTATTTCCCTTTAGAGGTGGAATAATAGGCCTGTTTATTTTCATCCATGTGGATGAAAATAAATAAATTGATTTAAAAAAAAAACATTGTTTTGTTGTGTAGCATTTTCCTACCTCAGGAAGGCTAACTTTGTAAGTCTTTTGCTGTTATTCAGTAGCTGAAATCCTTCAGCAATTGAAACGAGACACTGCAAGTATTGAATGAAATCTTGAAAAACATTAATATTTAGAGGTTAACATTACATATATTCAAACTCAAGAAGTAAATAAAGTTTTTTTGTTTTGCGTCGTAAAAGTTCAAGATGTCAAGTTTCCTATGTGGTTCTTTGTTCATTTTCAAGAAAGGTATATTTTATGTAAGTATCAATGTAAGCATATTTATTTTAACATACACAAGAAGTGCTCTTAGAAACCACAATACTCTCCCAGAACTGTTCTGATGATCCAACTTAAATCCAATGCCTTTGTGAATATCAGGGTATTTATAAGAGGGGCCCCTCATACATTTACACTACTCTTGTCCATCATTCTTACCAAAGTGTTTATTAATTTCTTGTTTTGTTTCATCTATAAATGGCTTTTCCTAAAATGTAGCTGTTTAATTTTAGTGCAGTTTTGGGGAAATTAGCAAAAATAAATAGGATGAATGCAAGGTGTATATTTATCCATACTTTTCATTGTTTATTTTACTCTCATTTTGCTTTACTTATCAGTTTGTGAAGGAATAAAACAAGGTATTGCAAAAATGCTTTACTAATTATAGAGAATTTTAGTTTTGTAAAATATAACTGAAAGTGAAAATTAATATAAATGTTGTATTTGAGAGTATATGGGAAAAAACAGAATCAGTCATGGATTAAATTCATATATTGCGCATTTATGGTTGAAGTTTATAACAGTTTTCATCGTAAAGAAGAGCAGTATTACAAAAGAGACTGGTGGATGTTTAAAATAGCCAGATTTTTAAAATGGGCGTACTATTCTAATCTTCTATTATTTTGTTTTCAATAAAGAATATTTACATGCTGGATGGTGTTGAGTCATTATATTGCAAGCAATGATAATGTCAGATGTTTTTTTCTCTCATTAAATTGTTAGATGTCTGCTGTTGCTCTAATGTCTAAACTCTCCTGCATATGGGGTATTGCATCTTTGGCTAACATCTCATTTCAGACCTGTTTTATTAATAATTTTGTAAATTTATACAAATATGATGTGTACATATCTGTTAGAATATAGCTATCGTCTGTGATGAAGGATACAATCACTAACTGCATATGATCCAACAAATTAGACAGTAAAGATTTTCTTTTCATTTCCTTATCTTTTATCTGCTAGGGTTGTACCTCATCACTCCCATATTGATGAGGCACTATCCATCACTTGTCAGGTTTCAGCACAGCAAACCAAACAAGTCACAAAGACCAACTTCATAGTTGGGGGCTAATAACATTTGTTTTTTATTTGTTTGTTTTTAATATAATTATAATTACACATAATTAATTACATCAAATAAGTCTTATGTTTTTCTGCAAGCAAATAAAATATGATGGCTGGGATTTCTTTAAAACCCCATAAAGCAGACATACGGTACTTTCGATAAGATATGCATCTACTATCAACGTTGTTTACCAGAACCACCATATGTTTAGTCTGCAGAGGATTTTGTCTCGCGATAAACTCCCAAAGAAGAACTGCACCCACGAGAATGTCGTTTCGCGCGCTGACTCTAAGCTCCAGTCACTCTCCAGATTGACAGCTATATTAACCAATCAAATCTGAACAGTGTTAAAGAAGCAGCCAATCAGCATGAGGAACTCCTAGAGCAGGCGGGTTAACAAAGTGTTGAAGAATAACTCATTGATCAATCTCCAACAAGGGTAGAGTTGGTCGCATAAACCATTTGATAGAAGTTACTTGGGGGGGAAAAACGTGCACATTTATTGCTTAGCCGACAATTTCCTGATTTTTATTTTGGACGATCAAACAGGTAAATCTTGTTTTGCCACTTCTGTTAACTTTCGATATTTTGTTAATTTCGTATTCATTTGCATCTCTATTCAGTTGCTAGTACACAGAGGTTAGCTAAGTCCTGTGTTGTTTCTTTTGCTGCCTATGCGGAACCACTAAAAGGCCGCACATCTTGTTCAGGCTTTGTCAAATTCTGTTATTAATCTTTTTTCATTGTTCTTTTTTCATATGTAATGTGTTTGTTAAAATGGCTGAAAAAAAAGTCTTTTATCTGTAACGTGATTTGCTGTACGCTTTAAAATAGGTGGGGAAGAAGTTATCCTGTTTATTTGTGCTGAAACTGTAACTCCTACTACCAACGGTTAAATTTGCTAGCTTACTACTTTGTTGCTTTTCATCTATTTTCACGTATGCTAACACAAGACTGCCCATTTTCCTGTTTGTCTTGCTTGAAGTGAATAATTTGGTGGTTTTGCTTGCTCTTTCAAAAAGAAAATGGTAAAAGTAACTAAGGTAAATGGTGAATTCTAAGTTGAAACAGCTATTTTATGTTTCTCTTCCTTATTTATTTTTTTTTTAAATGTTATGATCATGTTTTGTTCGCTTTCGAACGATTATTTAGGGACCGCATAGAGCGTCTCAGTGAAGCCGAGCAGCCATAGAGCCTTCCCCTCATCACTCACTGGGATCCAAGTGCGTTATATTCGGGTAATATATCAGTGTAGAACCTAAATAATATAACATTTCATCGTGTTTTACAGTCAGAAACCGAAGGCACATTGTTTGCTAGCGCTCCCTCGCGTCCGGATGTGCTTTTAAAAGAAAATGGGAGTGGCCTGGAGCCCAGTTTCCCGCACTGTATTTAAATCAGCCTATTCCCTCCCTTTCTGATAGTTCTGATGACAACCCACTGCTCACAGCGGCACCATACTGTACTCTGACTGAGCAGGAAGCAGTCATCTGATCAAGATAACAGAGCAGGAGTTGGTTATTGCAGACAATGAAATCTGATAAATAGCAATGATTAAACGGGGCTAGAATAGAATAGAATAGAAATATCCTTTATTGTCCCACAGTCGGGTAACTCCTGTGAAACAGCAGCAAGTCAAAGTAAAATTTGAGAGTGCTGATTCACACAAGGTAAAAACCGTAAGAATAAGAGACTGTACAGCAAGGACAAATTTACAACATAAGAAAACGGCACTGCAACTTATTAAAAATAGCATACTTGTATGAAAAGAAATGCGCAGCAGAGTATGGAACTTTAAAGTGGCAAAGACACAAGCTGTGCACAAAAACAATAGACTACTAACAAGAAGTGAAAACTTGAAATGAGAAAACCCCAAATAACAGCAGAGTTGTCTAGTCGTCTTGTGTTTATTGGGAGCAGAGATGGTTATAAAGTCTTAACAGCTGCTGGGAGGAAGGACCTGTGGTTACGCTCCTTTTTGTACCCAAGATGCAGCAATCTGTCACTGGAGGCGCTCTCCAGTTCAGCAGCAGTTCATGCTTGGGTGGGAGACATTGGAAACAAGTTATGCCTTGTTTCCAATGAGCGGGACGGGTAGGTGTCTAAGTTGCAATCGGTTATTGAATGTAGGCTTATAAAGTGGCAAGCTTTTAGAAAGTTTAGGATGCAGGTGCAGTGAAAGATCTGTGCACTGATCTGCTCCTCTGTTTACTCACCTGACCGCTACAGCAAGTGCATAAAATTTGGGTCACGTGGGTGAGAAAATGCTTACCCTTTTTGTGTTTTTTTTTTTTTTCTAAGAACTCAAATATCTTTTGAAGTGGGAGCCAGCACAAAAATCTGAAAAAGACTAAGATCAGGTGACGCTGTCTCAAGTCCTGCTGCAGTATTTTGAAAAGGCTGGAAACCTTACAGGAGAAAGTAGTTAATCCCAAAATAAAAGGCTGTTTCAATAGTTGAAGTTTTCAAGAAAATGGAGGAAACTCTAGTTCTGATAACGGCATTTATTTGCCTTACAGAAGAAACGTATAACTGAATCCATATTACTTAAATATCCTTTTTGTTTTCATTTCTTAAAAATATTTTCCTCTAAGAAAATGTACTTAAAAGTTTACTTGCGGTAAACTTGCTGGCTGCAGCAATGTGTTGGTTGGAAGGACTAGATGTTCTTTCACTGAGCTGCTACTTGGAAACATTTTTCACATGAAGTTAAAGTGAGATTGTTCTGCAAAGCTAAATATGACTGGAGGTAGCATAACCATGTTTTGACAAAAACAAAAACAAAAAAAAAAACACCTTCAGCCATATTTGTGCAAATTGGCTGTTTTCATAGGGCAGCTGCAATGTGGATTCAAGTTCGCACCATGGATGGGAAGGAGACCCATCGGGTGGATAACCTGTCCAAACTCACCAAGGTGGATGAGCTGCGTCTCAAAATCATGGAGCTGTTCAAGGTGGAGCCAGAGAGGCAGAGACTTTTCTATCGTGGCAAACAGGTGAGATGTTGTGGGTTAAATAGTTCTTTTTTTTTTGGTCTACTTTAACTTGAGTATAACTCTTTACTGGTGTTGGATCTCAGATGGAAGATGGCCACACCATATTTGACTACAACGTTGGCCTCAACGACATAGTGCAGCTGCTTGTTAGGCAGAAGGCCCCTGCTGCTGATGTCGTCAAAAGCAAAAGCAAAAACAAAAACAAAGACAAAGACAAAGAAGCCGAGCTCTCTGACTCGGATTCTGGCTGCGGCTCCACCCAGAGCGAGTCCGACAAGAACTCAACTCACGGCGAGGTCGAGGGTCAAACTGCGGGGACTTCTGCTCAGACAAATGCAGTGGAGCTCGTCTATCCTGGGTTTGGATTTTACAAGGTAATTTATAAAGACTGCAGACTGGATTAAATCTGCTTTATGTCTACTTTATGTTGCAGAGAAGTTGGGAGAAAAGAACTCATAAATGTGTCTATTTAACTTCAGAAACATCTTTTAGTTGTAAACTGACTACTGGACTTTAATTATGCATTTTTACACGATTGAGAAAAATAACTTGCTAATTCTTCAGTCTCCAAAATCGAGCTTTAAGCTTAATGGACGTGGTCAGTTACCATCTTCTGTTTTTGTCCGAAGATTAATGAGCTGGTTGATGCAAGAGACCTGAACATGGGAGCTTGGTTTGAGGCCCAGATTGTGAATGTCACAAAAACAACAAAGACGCCCAAAGAAGAGTCCGGTGATGGAGAGGCAGAAGAAAAGGAAGAGATCCTGTACCACGTTAAATATGAAGAGTAAGAATTGTATTTATTTATTTATATATATATATTTTTTTTGCTATTTGGAGTTTTCCCAGTGATGTCTAGTTAAATGCATTTACGTTTTTAGTCAACAATTTTGGCATGTTTTTTAATTTTTGGATTTTTATGGTCATGAGCTTAATAACAAAAATGGCATCGTACAATACTTCCTTGAAGTTCCTGTGTGTCCCTGCTAGATTTTCTGCTTGATAAATGTCTGAGAAAGTTAGAACTATGCTTAGTTACGAATCTGTGTCTGTGTGTCAGCTGGCAGTGTGGATTTTGAAGGGAGCTTCTATCAGTGCAGCGTCGCTGTTTGAACCTATTGGTTCTTGTCTCCATTAATCGCACCGCAGTGCAGCGCTGTTTGAAACACCTGAGAGAGGAATTTAACTTGCACTACACTTTCACACAAACTGCTCTAGTTATCCAGAAAATGGTGTGATTCAGCTGCTGGCCAAAGATGTTCGCCCGCGGGCCCGCACCGTCTACCAGTGGCATCAGCTGGAGCCAGGAATGGTCATTATGGTCAACTATAATCCCGATGACCCCAAGGAGCGTGGCTACTGGTACGATGCCGAGATCCAGAAGAAGCGGGAGACT